CTCGGCCACATTAACACAGGCGGGCCTTTCAGGAGGTCCGCCTCCGAAAATGGACCATAAATAGATTTTAGGAACCGCCTCCATAAATCGATTTTACGAGGCGGGCAACCATGACCGCCTCTATAAATGTATTTTGCGAGAAGGTTAATTTTGACCACCTCCGTAAATGAAACCATCCGCCTTCAAAAATCTTCAGGCATTTTACGAGACGGTTAGATTTTGTGACCCCCTCCGTTAATGTTTGGGCAGTGTCTCGCAAAATCATTTTTGTAGTAGTACATATAGAGTTAGAATAGGCTGAGCATCTCATCTTGTGCACGACTGGTTCCAATAAATCTATGGCAAATTAAGAGTGCAGAGTATTCTTATACACTTCATGAGATAGAACTACACAGTAATTTTCAAACTCATCTATCATGATCTTAGGATACATCAGTTTCACAGAATCATGTGTCCTCTATTGTCAATATGTAATTATGTATACTGTGTACACACTGGCAGTCCTATTCTTTAGTTGACGCAAAATTGCATATAGCATCATATATTTTGTTTGCTTTATCAATAAATTATTTTGAAAGTAAGCAGGTATACATATGACCGATATGTAAGGCGAGTGTTATTGCGTTGTGCTATGGTGAATGTAGTCCCTGCTTTGAACTAGCCATACAGTACCGTCATATGCGTATAGCAGGATTTAATTCGTTCTAAACAAGGGTCAAATTCTACAAGGCAGCAGCAGCAGCCGTACTGCTTTTGGAAACCACAACTATACTACATAGAGTGCAGTTGATCAGGACAATCTTCAATTGCTGCAGGGTGCCAGGGCAGACACACTAGAGTTCTTATGCCAAACTATGGGGCCGCCAGCTATAACACCCTAAAATTTGCTCTTTTGGAAATAGGTGTAAATTGAGGTAATTTTGAATTTTTGTGCTCATGAAAACATAGGAAAATAAAATTTTTCATTAAATTAAAATTCATCATAAGGTTTAGCAACATGTTTATGCATACATGCCCTTGCATTTTACGTATTTGATTGAGTGGTTTAAATTCAAAGTTTTAAATGAATTCAAATTCTTTGGAAGTAAATTGGAAAATGGCTTTGAAATAAAAGAATTTAAAAAGTTGTAAAAATAATTTTTTTGGGAAGACTTACTAAAATTCCTCATTTTTACTTGAGCCGGAAAAGTATATTTGAAACCTCATTTGAATTTGACTTTGGTCATATTTGAATTGGCTTTGAAGACAAAATAGAAAAGAAAATGGAAAAGGAATTCTTTGTTTTTTTTCTCCCTACCCGGCATTCTGGCCTGCTCGGATATTTCCGCTGCTGGCTGTCCATCCCGGTCCCTTTCTCTTGCGTAGGCCTGCTCTGCTTTCTCTCATTTTTCCCGCGGCCCGCGCCTTCTTTTCCCACGGCCCAGCTAGCCGGCTCAACACCGCGTCGCGCCTCTCTCCCACTGGCTGACCGGCCCCGCGCCCTGTGTCGCTGCCACCCGGGCTCCATGTGTCAGCGTCGTTTCTTTCTTCCTCCTCGCGACGTAGCCGCCCAGGATTCTCCGCCGTGCCATGGAAGTCCGACGTCGCCACGTCTTCGTGCCCAGCCGTGGCCCAGCCGCAGCAGCCGAAGCCGCCAGCACGCCTTCTCTCCTTCTGCCGCCGACTGACCGGTGGGCCCCGTCCATCATGCCTTTCTCCCACCTCGGCTCGTCGACAACCCGGACTCGCGCAGGAGGCCGTGTCCGCGCCGCTCCCGATTCCTCCCCTGCCGTGCGCGCTATGCCAGGCCGCCCTATATTAACTGGGTGCCCCGTGCCCGTGCCTCCCAATCTGAGCTCTAGCACCGCAGTTCCTTTCGCCAAGACGCCGAGCAGCCAAAGCCCCTAACGCCACCGTCCGCCATCCGCTTCGCCTAGCACAGCGTCGTCTCCGCTTGCTCCGCACCGCTAAGACCCGCCGAAGTAAGCTCACCGTTCTCTTCTCCACCTCCCCAAGTCCTTCCCGTTGTTAACCGCGCTCGATATCACTGTTTCGGCATAGCTCCATCACTGGCCATGGCGCCACCGGCCGAGAGCCGTGCATGCGATGCGTTGCCTCGATTCAATTCGGTAGTTAGCTTGATGACATCATCTTCCACATTATGCTCTATTTGTGGCCGTTTTCCTTTACAAAAACAAATCCAAAAATACAATAGAAATACACATCATCCTGAGCCGTCCGTTTTTAGATCAATGGCCCAGATTAAAAAAAAACATTCGCTGTTCTTTTAGCTAAAGAGTCTCTCGGTTTATTCAAAATAGAACCCGCAGTCCAAAACATGTTTACATATTTTGTTTTCTTCATTTGAAAGCATATTTTGTTTCGGTTAAGTCTAAAATATGCTTTCACTTATTTACAGATTTGCCACTGATCTTGTTTTAGCCATAACTTCTCCGCTTTAACTCCGATTTGATCCGTTCAAATTGAGTTAGGTTCGTATTTACGTTGTGTACGTGTTTATATCACTGTTAGATATGTTTTCAACTTTTAAAATTCGAGGTTAGATTTAATCTATTATTTTATTAAAGAAAATCCTGTTTAATTTATATCTTCTACGTTTTAACTCCGTTTTGACCCATTCAAGTTGCGTTAGATTCATAGCAACGAGATCTACGCGTTAGTAACCGTGTTTATCATGTCACTAATACTGGAATTTCATGGTTTGAATCATATCTTTTATAACAATTATGCAATTGGGTTTTGTAAATAAAATATGATTTGTTTTACTTTAGTTTTATAATTCGAATCTTAATTTGACTTAATTCAATTTATATAAGCTTTTATATGGTTAAAATAAATGAAGCTTATAGTTTTCTTTTCTGCATATAAAGCGAATCTATTGGTAGATGTATCTTTTTCACCGAAGCTCCGATTAGAGTGCTTTTCACGTATGTGTGTTCGTAGCGAGACGTAGATTCGTTTTACAAACTTTTCATCTTAATTTTATGTTTGATGTTCTGTTCTAATTTAGATCTATTGTTTGCTTCGTGTATGATTGTATGGATGCTTGTGTGGTGCTTTATGATTTCGTCCAGTCGGTGAGGTATATGCGGTGATCAAGAAGAAGAAGAAGAACGTTGAAGATTAAAGCTTACCGAAGGATCGGTGTTTAAGGCAAGTATAGCATGGGATCTTCCTTGTTGTCCTATATATCTTTAATCATTTAAATCATACTGCATGTGTCTACTTGGTAACCATAGTAATTTTCCTAGCTATTTGATATCCTGGATTCCTTGATACCTTTGGGGTATTGCATTGGGTAGTATGATGCTAGTGCTCAATTAAAGACCGTGATCTTGTAACTTGACTAATGGTATATGCAATAAATATTTAAAAGATGCTTTTTAGCAACATGGAACAAGGGGGCTAGAGCATTGGGCTATTTATGGTGCTCTAGATTCCTCTCCCTAAGGACTTATCTGTAAGTGATCATTCGGGACTTACAGTAGAACTGTGAGGGCTATATGGCTCTGGCTTTAGCCCAGTATGATGACCTTTTCTAGCTTGTTAGAGGTTACCTTTATTGGCATAAGAATGGCTTGCCGAATCGGGTATAGGACAGCCTCTACTCTTATGTGTATAGCCGTGATGGAATTGTACCATTCGATAGGGGGTTCCTATATCTGTTTGCTGAGTGAATCTAATGGCCCTAACTTGTTAGACGAACCTCTGAAAGGCTTCATAGTGAACCCTGCCGACTTCCTTGGTAGTGGGTCAAGAGGCTAATCACCTCGGGCAAAAGGGTAAATCACGACTCACAGTGAAAGTGTACAACCTCTGTACAGTGTAAAACTGGTATATCAGTCGTGCTCATGGTCACGAGCGGCCTTGGAATATTTACGGAATAGATGATGAACACTAATGATATGGATGATGAAGATGCTCACTAATGGTTAATTGTTTATGCTATTCATGATTCATGTTTTCATGATCATGTGTTTATGGGTTCGTGATAAACTTGTTGCTACTCAATTGTTAAATCATGACTCATTAAAAGCTAATCGCAGTTAAATCAGTGTCAGCCTTTTGAGCCTCATGAACCCCATGTTATATTTGTTCAGTATGACATGTACTTACGCTTACGCTTGCTTTATTTTATACATATTTGGAAAAATCCCGGATGGGTCCCAGATTGCTAGAGTCTGGAGGAATTAGGCTTGTAATCAACTAGTCAGTTGTCTCTGTGAATTTGGAGTCTTCGCCTGAAGATCGGAGTTGTCTTTCCGCTGTCTATACTCTGAGGTTATAATCTTTATACTAATACGCTATGTATTTAAGCATTGTCTTTTGATATTACCCTTATTTGTAGCTATATATGAGATTTGACTTTCTGGGCTCACGTATGGTGTGTATCTGGTTTTGTTCTTAAAACCGGGTGCTACACCAGCGCCGGACCCTAGTTGTTATACTCCATTATTCATCTCAATAATAGGTAGAACTTCTTTCACATTAAAAAAACAAAAATTAATGATGATTCTGTGCCACAACTGTCACTCCACTGCACCACTTGCTGTATAAAACTGTGAAATACAGACGCTAACGTTGAACACAAAGAAACTGAGTTGGTCCTGTTTTTACTACCTCTCTCAGCTTAACCAAACACCATGTCTACAATTACAGTTCCAGTCATTCCTGGAGGCTACCCAGGTAAAACATAGCATCGAATGAATTGTTTCTTTTTTAATGAAACAGGCATATATATGGACTGCACAATCAAATTTATGACAGCACAAAGAACATCTCAAGTGCGTTTGCAAAAAGGAAAAAAACCATCTCAGGCGAAAAACAAACATAATCTTCAAATATGCTTTATTATGAGCATTGATCACTGATCAGGAGGTACACACACAAGTTTCTTGTTTATAGAGTTCCTTTCTTACAATCCTTAATTTTTCTTTATTCTCTTCTTCACCTTCTTCAATCTTTCATCCCATCAGGTACTGGCAACTTCATTCAGGATTTCAGATGCGCGAAATGATCGCAGCTTTGGACTTGGGCATTTTATCACACGGTGATGGCATCCATGCAAGCCTCCCTTTCTCATTGTCGTAAATCACAAGCTGCTCCTGCATTGAGATGCCTGCAGAAACAGAGCACCATTGGAATCAAAAATATTTTACAGATATGTATGCCTGAACACTGTATTCTGAATTGAGCATGGTATATGCAAAATTTTGTACCTCCAATCACGAACAGATCGAAGCCTGGCAGTTCAAGAATGCCAAAGCATGCATTCCCATGCCCCTGCCACAAACACAAAAGCACAAGAATTTAAATCATTCTCCTCCTTTTTTGACAAATTAGCATTCACTGCTGACAGTCAGCTGTGTTTGGAGTGCTTACAGTGATAATGAGGTAGTTTTCAGGAGGGATAGTCATGGTGACTCCATGGTCAAATTTCAGAGTGACCAGTGACTTGAATTCTTTCGGGAGGTCGTGCACAGTTTTGAAAGGTTTAGGTCCTTTCCAGCATAGAGGCAGTGCAGTATCAGTATCAGACACCTGTTTGAGTGATGACTTGCTGAGAGAGGCCTTCAGCTGCAGCAACATCCTTCACATGTCATGAATCCTATGTCTACTGTCTCTAATAATCGTGGTAACTGGGGATTAATAATGAATTGTGATTACTGATTAGGAACATACCGCAGAAACGAGCTGAGCATGTAGATTCTCAGGCAACAAGGTGTAAGTGCTGCCACTGTCGAAGATCGCCTTCAACGGCTTTGTGCCTATCGGGTTTCTATCCAAGTGCAGGGTTGCTTGGCCCGGCGAGTAGTGATTAGGTTCCCTGGAAACACGTTGAAACAAAGTCAAAAGAAAAGAAAGTTCAGTGGTATCCTTCTCAACTAGTTTCCATTATTGAATTTCCATTTTCCAGAAGAGAAAGTGGTTCCTTTTACAAGATTGAGAAGCAAAAGGGGGCATCAATCAAAAATGTGTCCTGTTAAATGGTGATTATTACCTGGAAATGCAGTATATGTATATGATATGCAGCTGTGCAGGAATCAGTGCTGTTACATAGTGCTAATAGTGTGTGCATGCTTGAATAAAATGAACCAATGAAATTCACAACAAACTAACAGACTTCTCAGACCATCATCGTGAACAACCAAGCACTTTGCATGAAAAGATAAGCATAGTATAGTGCTTACCCGGGTGCTGTTGGAGCCATGGGGACCCAGGTTACATGTGAAGAGGACACATTCTCTTCCCCAATGAAGAGGTAGCCCCCTCCCTTTGAGCTGAGGTATTGGCCTATCACATTCTTGGAGACGGCTCCACTGTGCTTCAGCTGCGAGACGAGGTCTACCGAGCCCCTTCCAAGCCCAAGGATGCCATCGACCGGCACCCGCTTGGGGGCCTTCTTGGAGTTCTGCATCTGATCATACCCACAGCTGCATGCAGAAGTTAAGAAAACTACAAACTGTCATGAACATATCCAGTGAGCAATGCAAAGAGAATGTAATATCCATGCATATATTCTGTTGCATACCCAAAGGCGATGTTGGGGGCACTGCCCGTAGGCAATGAGAACTTGTCAAAGACGAGCACACCAAGAGATGACGATCCATCTAGGTAGTGTATTTCGTAGTCGCATTGGCGCGGTGCAGCTCTGCAGTCCTTGGTTGTACCCAGGTCTTTGTGCAGCGCGTCCGAGATATATATATATATATATATATATATATATATATATATATATATATATATATATATATATATATAGAGCATCAAACATAGTGCAGTTCATGGTGATCTTTGTGTGCGGCATCCACAAGCACAAATTGTTTCTGACTACTACGTTTTTCTAGTCAAATTTATTTCCAATGAAGCTGAAAATAAAGGCGAGATGCATATATATGTGCGTGCGTTTGCGTTCTGCAGCAGCAGCACCGATATAATATACCTTGTTGCAAGTGTTGCAGGGACCATTGTTGTCGTGGCACTCGAGCCAGGTGAGGTTGCTGCCGGTGTCGATGTCCAGGAAGTAGGGCTTCGCCAGGTCCCCGATGTTCATGGTCACGTAGAAGTGTCTGCAAGCACAAGTGGACGACAGCATGGAAAAATCGTCAAGCAAAGGCCAAATATATCTTTGTATTTCTTGCTATGATAAGATGCAGTAAACAACGAGCGAGGGTCCTTTGTTTCCAATTTTTTTTACAACTTTCCTGTTGACATCAAGCCATGCGAGTTCGAGAGAGAAGGTAGTCGTGTACATTACTATACATACTCTGTAAGGTAGACGCTGCCGCCAAGCTTGAACACCATGGACGAGGAGGCCAACGGAAGGAGTGGAAGCACGAGCAGAAGACTGACGACCATCTTCCAGCTGCCAGCCATGGTGCAGATGTCAGTTGCAGTACACTTCCCTCTTGCTGAAATTCAGTCCTCTGTTTGGTGGGGATGGAGAGAGTGACGGAGGGATGCGAGGTATTTTATAGGCGTTGTTGGCTTGGGGGGCTGGGACTTTCTCCAGCCTGTTCAATTTTCTTTTCTTTTCTTTTATTTTTATTGTTGTTTTGCATTTGTGTGGTTCTGGGATTAAATATCTGTTTTTTATGACAACAAGTTATGAGCTTTGCTTTCATGTCAGTGTTATTGGATTTGGAAACTTTCATCAAAAAAATTTGGATAGAGGTTTGTTTGTGAGATGCTTTCTTTGTGTAAGCACTTTTTTTAGAAACTGTGAGGATTCCTAGACAGTTAAAGGGATCAAATTACCTTAAAAAAACATGGTACGTAGCACCTCTGTATCACAAAAATGTACACACAGGAAGTTTGAGCAACCAACTCAGAAGACATGCCCCGGTACTAGTTACCATCTAAAATTGTAAGTTTGCTTAATTGAACTGAGCATACACCAGAGAATAACTGATCCATTTGCTACAAAAGTGACCACGCGCATTTTTCACATTCTAAGGCCCTCAGCTGCATCGCTAACCCGCCCTTTCACTTATTGTTTTGTACATCAGCTTTCCTTTCATACAGGGATTGTCGAATTTGAGAACTCTTCATTTTAAAATAAAAAATGGATATAGTGTGCTTTTGAGATGCTTCACGTACACAGTTATTTTTTTAGATAGAAGCTTTGAGGATTTTTAGACAGTTTAGGGCCTGTTTGGAATGCGGGAAATTTTTCATGTTCATATGTTTTTCATGTAAAATTGAACTAATTCCCGTGAAATTCTTGCACGATTCCTACAAAATTCTGCGCTCCAAAAAGACTAAGGGATAAAGTCAGGGCAGTAGAAAGAAATATACATTGATTACGCGAAGCAAAGTTCTTTCAAAAAAATTTACACACACAAGTTTCAACAACCAACTCAGAAGCACATGCTCATGGACTAGTTACCTCCTACAATTGTAGGGTTGCTCAACTGAATGCTATAATATAATTGACTTGAGGACAAGGGAATACCTATCCAGGTTCTATATCTGTATTCAGATAACAAGCACAATATATTTCATAAATTGGCAGTGATGATACTTTAGTTTCTATGCTCTGTAGAAATCGACCTTATTGTTTTTATCACATTCTATTTCTTTATATATTTTCCATCCTTTTATACCTATAGTTGATTATGCTATGCTAGTGAATATCATATATTCAAAGTGGGACTACTACAATGGAACAAATATTTGTATCATACTCCATTTGTTCCAAATTATAGCTCACTTTTGCTTTATCCTAAGTCAAATTTCTTTAACTTTGACAAATGTTTTACATTAACATCTACAAGTTCAAATAAATGCATTATTGAAACATATTTCATAGAAAAGTTATAGAACTAGTTTGTGGTTGTAGATGTCAGTATATTTTTCTTGGTCCAAGTTAAAGAAGTTTTGCATAGTACAAAGCTAAAGTGACATATAATTTGGAATGAATGGATCGGATTACGATATACAACAACATAATATCTCTAATGATAATTCATAAAACTTGCATACGGATAATTATCCATTAAATGTGGAAGATATATAGATACAATCTAAAACAAACTTTAGTCAATATTTTTTCAAGCTAACTGTGGCCCCCAGAAATAAGAATCATGACATCCATATATTTGGTAGCTCTGTATATCCACCGGTCCTCATATGGTTCCCAAACATGACAACTTTGAGAAATATTGACTCACTGGAGGAAAGATTAATAGAATAAATTTCAAGTAGGTTACTGCACATCAGAAATTATAGTTATCTACTAGTTGATTGGTAAATTTAATTAATAAAGGAACATCATTGTAACTCCTTTTGTTCTAGTTAGCTATGTATGATGCAAAAGTATGATTAATCAGCTATATGTTGCTCTGTTCTCCGCAGACGATGCATGTGAGTAGGAAATGTTAGAGCTCTGGTTAGCTTCTAAGATGTATCACACACAAGTCATCTCCTAAATGAGTGCACATAGATTCATTTCCTACTCACATGCATCTGCAGAGAACAGAGCATATATAGCTGGGTATCACACACAAGTTATCTTCTAAAGAAGTGCATACAAGAAGTTTCAACAACCCACTCACAAGCGCATCTTCTAAAATTGTAAGTTTACTCACTGAGTGCTACAATTGACTTGAGCACCAGGGGATCTGATCCATGTGCTAGACAATAAGCAAAATATATGATATTTGGGAAGTGATAATGTGTATAAAACACACATTGCATCCTGCTCTACAAAAATGTCCACCTTTTTCACATCCTTAATGGCCTAAGCTGCATCACTGACCCACCAACCAAGTCATCAGAAGCACGTCGCATTGTAACACCCTAAAATTCGCATATTTTTGAAGTAGGAGAAAATGATTAAATACGCATTTTGTGGGGATTTAAATTTAGGAAAAATAATAAATTTTATCAAATTAAAATCAAATGTAGGTCATAATCATGTGTGTGCATTCATCCTGCTGCATAATGATTTTTGAATGGTTGATTTGAAATCAAATTTCTACTTGATTTGAATTTTGCCTTCAGAATTGGTTTGAAAAATACAAAAAGGATTTATTTCTCCTTCCTCTATTTTCGGCCCAGCTGGTCAGCCTGCCGTTCCTTTCCCTTCCCAGGCCGCCGCTCTCCATCTCCTTCCTGCTTGGGCCGAAGCCCAGTTCGGCTTCTCTCCCGCGCCGCACCGCAGCAGCCCAGCAAGGCGCCCAACCCGGCCAGGCTCCCGTCCCGCGCTCCTCTTTCCTCCGGCCGCTGACCGTCCTGGCCCACAGGTCAGGCGTTTCTCCTTCCCCACGCCGTATCCGGGCCGGATTCCTCCGCCGCGCCGACGCCGCCGTGTCCGACTCTGCTACGCTCCACGCCGTGCCTCCCAAGAAATATCCGCCTCATAAATAGCCGGAGTCGCCTCCGCCGCCTCCCTATCCCATCTCGCAGCAAGGTCCTCGCCCACGCAAACCCGCAGCCGCACCTCGCCCTAGCGCCGCCGCGAGAGTCACCGTCCATTGAACGCCGTGCCGCCTCTACTGCTTCCCGCTCATTGCTCTTGGGTCCGGTGAGTTCCCCATCTCCTCCTCTCTCTCTCCCAGACTTCTTTTGTCGAACCGAGCACTGTAGACTAAAAACCGAAGCTCCGGTGAGCCGACAATGGTGCCGCCGTCGCCCACCTCGCCGCCGGCCCTGTTCCGGCGTGGCTCTCTCTCTCTCTCTCTCTCTCTCTCCCCGCCCGGTTGCATCTCGGCCGACCATCTCTAATCCGGCGGCCGAGGATGAAGGATACCCCTTCGTTTTGGAATCTTGCATAAGAGTCCTTATAATTACTTCGGTATTAACCCGTCGTCCCTAGCGCCTTTCTAGGTTCCGTTTCTTTCTTTTGAAAGCGTATTTTGGTTCGGTTAGATTAAAAATACGTTTTCAGCTATTTAAGTTTTGCCACTCAACTTGTTTTAGCCATAAAATCTTCGTTTTAACTCCGAATTGATCCGTTCAAGTTGCGTTAGGTTCATAATTAAGTAATCTACATGTTTATACTACTGTAAAGTAGGTTTTCAACTTTTAAAATTCGAGGTTAGATTTAATCTATTATTTTACTATAGGAAATCTTGAATAATTCATAACTTCTTCGTTTTAGCTCTGATTTTTGTGATCTTCATGTCTGTGTGTTCGTAGCGAGACGTAGATTCGTTTTCCAAACTTTTCATCTTGATTTTATGATGTTGGTATACTGTTCTAATCTATAGCTTTGTTTGCTTCGCATGATTTGTCCTGGATGCTTGTATGTTGCTGTGTTATCAAGTATAGACGGTGAGCAATTCGTGCGAGATCAAGGGTACGACTTTGACGAGCAGGACCAGCACGAGTACTTTGCTCAAGGCAAGTATAGCATGGGATCATCCTTGTTTCCTATTCACTTTAATTCATTAAATTCATATTGCATGTGTCTCCTTGATAGGGATTCCCTATAATTGAACTTTTACCTTGTCACGTACGGGTTATGCATTGGGTAGCTTTGCTAGTGCTCAATTAAACCATGATCTTGTAACTTGATTAATGGAATATGCAATAAACACTAAAAGATGCTTTTTAGCAACATGGAACAAGGGGGCTAGAGCATTGGGTTGTTTTATGGTGCTCTAGATTCCTCTCCCTTAGGACTTATTTGTAAGTGATCATCCGGGACTTACAGTACAGCTGTGAGGGCTATATGGCTCTGGCTTTGGCTTAGTATGAGGAAATTTTCTAGCTTGTTAGTGGTTACCTTTATTGGCGTAAGAATGGCTTGACGAATCGGGTATAGTGCAGCCTCTGCCCCCTTGAGTATAGGCTACACATCATTGTGCCATCGGAAAGGTGGGCTCTATATCTGTTTGTCGAGTGAATCTAATGGCCCTAACTTGTTAGATGAACCTTTGAAAGGCTTCATAGTGAACCCAGCCGACCTTCCTTGGTAGTGGGTCAAGAGGTTGGCCGCCTCGGGCGAAAGGGTAAATCACGACTCACAGTGAAAGTGTACTGTTGTAACATGGCCACCACGGGTGGCGAAGACCCGCGCAGTCCGTAGGAGACGAGGGCACCTCTGGCCAAGAGGGCGAAGGCCGCCTCACCTCCAAACTAATTAAACAACGATCTTGCCTAATTGTGTGCAGGTACTCAAGCGCGGGGGCCTGGGCATCACGCGAGCGCGCCAGCCTGGCCCCCGCGTGGTCGGGCGGAGGCCTGCGGATGATGCCTCCGATCGGACCGGCGGAGACCCGCTAGGGCGACGACGCGCCCCTAAAGGCGGAGGCCAGTGTCGACAGCCATGGCCCCCGCGCGGCCGGGCGGAGACCCGGGGGAGATGTCTCCGACCGGCCGGCGGAGAACCGACCGGACCGGTAGAGACCCGCTAGGGCGACGGCACGCCC